TGGGCGGAACACTTTAAGGAGCAGTTTAGCTGGCCTTCAGCTACTCTACAACTACACTCTATTCCCAGACAGTATGAATGGAACATTGAAGTAGGTCCCCTAACTCTAGCTGAAGTTCAAAATGCTATAGTTATTCTGAAAGGGGGAAGGGCAGCTGGTCCAGATGGATTGGCCCCAGAGGTCTTTAAGGATGATGGTCTAGTTTTAGCGATTAGGTTGACTAATCTTTTAGCTAAAATCAGGGAGTTAGACGTAATCCCCTCTGACTGGTCACAATCACTTATCGTCCCAATATATAAGAAAGGGTCAAAATCATCCTGTGACAACCACAGAGGGATTAGTTTGACTAATATACTATCTAAAATACTAGCTTCGATAATTTTCGGACGCCTAACTAAGAATCGTGAACTGCAAACACGTGAAAATCAGGCTGGCTTCAGACCTGGTCGTGGCTGCATCGACCACATATTCACCATTCGTCAGGTTCTAGAACACAGGCATACTTATCGGCGTCCGACAATAGTGGTATTCCTTGACTTAAAAGCAGCGTTTGACTTTGTTGACCGAGAGGTTCTGTGGCAGTGTCTGTCATTGAAAGGCGTACCTCAGAAGTACATAAACCTTGTGAAGGCTCTTTACTCGAACACTACTAGTCGGGTGAGAGCTTATGGCGAATTGTCATCTGCTTTCGCAACCTCAAGTGGCGTCCGCCAAGGCTGTCTACTTTCTCCATTTTTGTTTAACTTCATCATAGATCTACTGATGGAAATAACGCTCTCATCGACTGAATTCTCGGGTATTGACCTCCTACCAGGAGGTCCACTTATCGATTACAATACGCAGATGACATAGTCCTGTTTGGTGAAGACGCTGATGAAATGCAGAGTCGTTTGGTAGCACTGAGAAACAATGCCAGAATGTTTGGGATGCGCTTCTCTCCCTCCAAATGCAAACTGTTGCTTCAGGACTGGTCTGCGTCAACACCTGAACTGAGGATAGGGGGTGAAGTAGTCGAACACGTTGACAACTTCACTTATCTTAGAAGTCTGATCAGCCCTAATGGGTTGGTGTCTGACGAAATCTCAGCACGGATTCGAAAAGCTCGTTTGGCTTTCGCCAACTTACGTTACCTATGGCGCAGGCGAGATATCCGTCTATCAATTAAGGGACGAGTATACTGCACAGCAGTTCGTTCTGTTTTACTTTATGGCTGCTAAACATGGCCTTTAAGAGTAGAAGATATTCGTAAGTTACTAGTGTTTGACCACAGGTGCCTTAGAAATATTGCGAGCATCTGCTGGGATCACCCGGTAAGTAATAGTGAGGTTAGACGCAGGGTATTATGGAATGATGGTAAATCAGTTGATAAGGTTATGAGTCTTCATCGACTGAGATGGTTAGGCCACATGCTGCGTATGCCTGAACACCGATTACCACGACGCGCAATGCTAACCGGTGTTATGGATGATTGGAAGAAAGTTAGGGGCAGCCAAACCAAAACGTGGCATCAGTGCTTGAAGTCACTAACTTCTGGTCTGAGCCATGTTGGGAGATTCAGACTGACTGGTTGGGGTCCGCGTGACTATCGTAACCAATGGTTGGAGACTCTTGGTGACATGGCTCAGAATCGATCACAATGGCGTCGGTGTATACACTCTCTGTCTTCCCTTAAACTAAGAGATTAAAATCGCTTCATATCTTTCTTTCTAGGAACTAATTCTTTCTTCCTGTACTATCTCCTCATATGCGATCTTTCTTCTATATATTACCACCACTGAATTAACTACTTTTATGAATCCGGTGTTGATCTTGTTGTGCTAATGCGGTATGGCAACTTGGACCGATGCATATACGTGCCTGGTCCTACGTTGCAGCTGGTGACTATTTATTATCTTATTTTTGTCGATAATATGTAACGATATAATTAAAGCAAATAATGAAGGACAACAAATATCTTCAGTGCTGCTCCTAGTGTTAAAAGCATCAATTTCATGAACGTTTCGCCTGATTCGATTTCTGGTCGGTCATCGAACTTTGCATCTAGTCATACTTGCTGTTTAAATTGTGTCACTGTGATATTTGGTATTTGAGAATTTTTGTCATAATCGTGATAAGACATAATATGGAGTATTCAGTACCATCGTCTTTATTATGTGAACTTAGGGTCTCAATTTCGTATCCACCATTGTACCGTGCAACCCAGCCGTAGTGTTCTTTTGAATTGACTATCCAGCAACTTTTATTTTAAAAGGTCTTTTAACTCAAAAATATGCGTTAAATGTTTGATCAGTCAATTAAATTGCGTTACTTAGTGTTATCATTTTAGGTTACGCTGAAATTTGATGACTGAGATATCACTTGCTTTTTCATTCTTACTTATTGATCAAGAGAGGTTATTAACACTTATCATTATGCAGTCAAAATAAAGATAGCGCAATTTTCACAGTTGGCTATTTAAGTTAAAAATGTTCAAATCCATGTTATTTTATACGAAAAATTCAAAAATTGCATGAGATAATTGCTTGATACTGAATATAGTTTTTTATAGAAATCGACCAAATTGTAATGAGGTTCACACACTTAGTTACCCCTCGTGGAGGAGCGTAGGCCGCCCACTAAGTATTCCCATCAAACTGTGTCCTGGAAAATTCTTTTTGGCTGTTCCCAGTTGCTGTTGTTTCGTTGGGTCGGACTGTCATTAATACTCGTGAAGTAAACAGGTTGTAGCTGACTGACCGAAACAGATTTACGGAAAACTGTGATACTTCTTGTTTTTTAATAGAGAATAAAAATAAAGAAGACCGTAGATTGGCAGAAAAATTTTGGTATGATCAAGAGTGTAGCGTTTTATGTATACCAACATCTTGTAGATTGTCGGACGACATAAGTCATTAACCACTTTCTTTGCCACTGCTCACATGGGCGATCGTTAAGCAGTTTTATCCTTTATTTAACGAACCTTATTGCTGCCGATGGAAAGCTGTTAAGCAAAGAAAAGTCTGGTTCCCTCCAGATTTTCAAATTTTTCTAGATCGAGAATACTAGATAACTCAGTGCTAGTTATCAGACCAAAGTTTCCTACTGGTGTCGTCATTTCCAAACAAACAGCACTTTCTAGTTCCCCAACTTTCTGTTAAATAAACAGTTGTTTGCACGATGGCTTTAGTCAATCTTAGTTCTCCGTCTTTCAATGATTGTGCGGTAAGACCCTAAAAAACATGCATTTCAATCACTAGGGCTCAACTAAGTTCTGCAAACCTGGTCATCATATTAAAGTAGCAGCTGTCAAATGGAAATGAGATACCACTTTTGCAAGTTGTCGCTGTTATAACTTGCGGTTTTGTGCCCTATTAATGTGTAACGTAACGATACTGCTAATTAGAGAACAGTAATTTATCGACCGGACCAATAATGCATAAAACCCATACGAGCAGTCTAGAGTTCTTATCGGTCCTGCTTCCTGCCTGTTAATTCCAATACACCAATCTCAGCCTCCGCGATATAAATCATTTCAAACATGCTGAGTTTATATACAAACCAACCAGACCACGTACCATAAAATAGAAAATAACATTTGTACAAAATCCAGCCAAAAGTGGCTGTAAATGTGTGAGATAGTAATTGGTAGACTGGGCTTAACTAAAAAATGATAAATCGTATAATAATAAGTCATAGGCCAAAATAAAGCTTATGGTAGGGTGAACGCGAATATGAATGTTTTAGTTATTTAATAATTATACGATAAAAATATACGTATAGTGTTAGTCCAGAAATAGATCCCGGCAGTTACTATTCACTGTTTTCATCGGGACATAACAGTCGCTAGTTTCATTAAGTTGTAGAGAAGATCACTGTTGTGTAAATATCTAGAAGTTGAAAGGATTTCAAGTTGTTTCGTTTAAGTTTATACTTTAGATAGGCACTCATATATTCTATTAAGCAGCATTACGTTCCTCGTTGTCCATTCTTGTATCTAGTATAGCTGTTCTTAGGATCAAACAATGTGTTTACTTAAATTCCTTTGTACTTTTGAGTAACCAGCATATCTTGTGTAAGATGTGATATCTGAACAGCCGCAAACAAATATTATGGACAGTTTGGTGCTGTGTATCAAGCTTTGTGGAACATAGTTTGACATAGAAAACTACTGAGATGTATCTGATTTGAATACAGCAGCTAAATAACAATTTTTTTTCCAAGAATGCATCCTACTACCTGTAGTTTCTTGATATTAAACTGCAACTTTATTGAAAGCTGAAGAGGAACGTAAAGAATAGGACTTGATAATGTTATGAACGAGTTTTCGATTGTTAAAATCAATAAATAGGATATTAGTTAATCGATTATATGCAATGATGCGACGGCGTAGTGATTACTGCTCACGGGACTGCATCGTATATATGTGCTAATGTTTTGGATCACTGTTGTACAGTGATTCAAGGTTACGAATGATTGGGTAGGTCTAACACGAAACTTGATCCCTATGAACTGGATATGCCAAATGACAATTGTACAACACTTCAATGAGAACCCACCTTACTATGGGAGAGGGAAAAGAAAAGTATTGTAAAAAAAGATGTGTGGGTGAAGACTCCAAAAGGATTAAATTACATTGAAGTCGGTCCGATCATGTATCAATTAATTTCAGTGACTTTTAACTACGAAATCAATCATTTGAGCAGTCAACACTTGTGCACAAAACCGCAGTAAATATGTCGATGCAATTATATTTAATATCTTCTTCAGAATTAAATCAATGTGTACAGGAGACTAGCGCAGTCTTCCCAAGCCACCAGGAATAGGTGAAGTGGGTAGAATTTTCCAGAAGCATTTATGGGCTTTCACATGCGTACCAGAATGCTGTAGGATTCATGACTTATATTTTTTAAAGACAATTTTAAGGGAGCATTTATTCTTCCTACAAACAAATTAAGACAATTGGTTGATAAGATAATATTGAGGTCACTAACGTTACCATCTTCTCAATCTGTTTTTTTTAGACCAGCAATAATCCCGATGTAAAGAAGTACATTTTCGATTGTATTGAATCCTTACGACCTCAAATTTCGGAGATAGATGAGTTGCGTGTTGTAATTAAATCTATTTCGGCCAGTTCATTTGAGTCGAAACCCATTGAATCACTTGTTTTACAGTTCAATAAACTAAATGAAGAGTTTATCCGGTGAGATTTGTTTAAATATGAAGTATTGTTACACCTTTTTTAGAGAACTTTTTATACAATTATGTTAAGCCACCAATATTCTCCTTGAAAATGTTTGTACATTAAAATAATTAGTTTGTTTAGTCCAAAATACATTAATAACTGCTTGCCTGAACGAACAACGTTGTTTTAATCGACACAGATGCACTTTTGATCAAAAATGTGTAATAATCCAAATTAGCAAACCAAAGACATCAGTGAATAAGGCAAATGAATATAGTTAGTGTAAGTAGTCCAAAATGTTTGAGGTTTTAAACGAGGAGTCGATAATGATTGGCAGTGAGTTAAAATACTATGTTTTGGGAAGGTGTGGAATATGTTATGGTTGGATATTCCAAACGATACCACGTACTATATTGCCAATCGGACTGGTGACCTATTTCAAAAATTTATACGCTGACCAAGGAATAACAATCAATGCGTCAATACTTATTGGTCCTCAGGCTCGTTCTAACCCACTAGCCAATCAGAAGATCCAGATAAGAGTAGGTCAGTTCTCTATTGTACCCTTTCGATCATGGATCAATACTTATACAATAATATACTTGAAATGCCCAACTACAGAGCACACTAAATATGAGGACACAGTACATAACTAATTAAACATGACTAGGGAACAGTAAAACATATAGCAAACTCCTCCTGGAGCCCCCCTGGGGCTACTGCCGGTTCCAAGCCCAGATAAAGAAGGAGCGTTGGGCATGGGGTTAGCGATCCCATCCCGTAGAAAACTAACTCGCTGAAAAAATTATTTAAACTTTGACCTGGGAGCTAGGAAGTCTTCATTTAGAAGAGCTATGACGCCTCATGGTGAAAGCCGAGCTCCTTCGGAAGTCACGAGGCCGATGCCCCTTCTGAAAATCAGAGCAACTATTAATTTAGGTACATGGAATGCTCGTACAATGTAAAAAAAGGCCCACGACAGAGTGGGTCGGAGAATGCTGGTCGGCGGCCTATGCTCCATTGGGAGTAACAGACGTAAGTAAGTAAGACGTATAGCAAGTCAGTAGGTCAACTGAATGCTTAAAATAAGAGAAACAGAAATCCAACAATATGGTTATCTACTCATGATACAATAAAGATATAAATACCCCTAAAAAAATTCCAGAGTGTTCGTTCTGTTCTAACGCTTTACCTTTTCTTGAAGAATTGTAAAGGGTCTTCACAAGGTCTTCGAATCCAATTTTATATGCCTAAAAATCACTTAAAAGAAGAACATCCATAATCAGATTCTGATAAAAATCAAATTATTTGGAATTATTGACATTTTCCTCCTCCACGGAATATTGTAGGATTTTTTCGTAGTAAGATGGATAAACCCCGGGCTATCTGGACATGCTTAACATTTAATCTCTTGTCATTGTGATCCGTTCGTTTTCTGAAAACACTATACGCTGCTGTAGTACGTTGATATTGGCATTTCTTAAAAGTAGTTAACATATAATAGAAAATGTGTTTAATTATGATTTTTTCCATAGTTCCTGATTTTCCATACCATTTGGTTCTTGTACCATTCGAATGTGGAAAATCATTCTGTTGTAAGCAGCTTTCAACTGAGATTTTCATAAAATCCCATTTAAAAATATAGGATAACATAGTGTCAGTTTTTGAGTGCTCATACATTCGTGGTCGTTTATCTGTCTAGCGAAAGTTTGATAAATTAATAACTTTTTTATGTGAGAGGATAATAATTACTGATTGTTCATTTCAATAGTTTATGTACTAACTTGTTATTTCTAGTGGCCAGAATGTTGATATCCTATCAAACTGGAAATGACACTAAAACATCAACAAGGAAGTAAATATTTGTTTGAATTAAGATTCTTAAATAACTATTTGGTGTTTGTATGTGAAGTAGTAAATCCCAGTGAAGCAGATTTAACTTTATCAAAAGCAAACCCGATCAAGTCATATTACTTTGTAAGCGTATCGAAATACCTGGCATATTTAAAAAACTTCAAAATAGGTAGAGGACGTATAACTTCGCCTGGAGCCCTTTCGGGGTTGTTGCCGACTCGGGGGCAGTAGAATTAAAAAAGATACAATGCCACTTTGCTTAAAATAAGTGGAACCCTTTAAACACAAGCTGAACAGCAAATACTGGCTTCAGCAACAAATGCAGACAAAGTTAAAACGGATTCTACCACAGTAAGGCTCAACATTCACGACGGGAAAAGGAAGATCCTGAGATATAACTGCGAGCACCAACTAAACCTAGCTTGATGACGAAGCTATGGAAGAGGTGAAAACCTTCACATTTCTGGTCTGTATCATTAGTACATAGTAAGGATCTGATGCATTTGTAGAGGCACAATTTCTCGAAGCAAGATCAACATTCCTACAAATGAAGAAAATATAGAACTCAAAACAACTGTCAACCAACATCAAAGTGAGAATTTTCAATACGAACAACAGTTCCACTGTACGGAGCTGAAACTAGGAAAACTGCAACACCAATAATCGAAAGGGTAGAAGTATTTCAGTCAGTCAGTAACAACGTGGAACTTCGTACGTACGTACATCAGTTCGAGTTGCCATACCACATTAGCACAGAGATTCAGTTATCGATTCAAATCCCATAGTGGTAAAGGTACTGAAAGTATAAGTAGTGATAGGGAACATTAAGGTTTGATGATGTTATTTAAGGAGTATAGTCCAGTGGAATAGATTTGGAAAGAAAATAAAGGATATGAAGAATTCAGAAGATAAGATAAGGCTCGGGGTGTGGCCCCCTAAGAAAACCACCTGCTTCGGTTTGGACACCCGGGCAGTATCACAGCCCTCACACAAATTAATTGAGATTTGTGTGGCGCATATGTATTTGGTGCCTCCCTGTACCTATACTTATGTGTTAAAATAAATAAATAAATAGAAGATAAGAGTTTGAGAGAACACAGAGTGTGGATGCACCTGCGCCATTGCAAACGATTTTGAGCCATGTCATTCAAGGTCTCTAACCATCGGTTGCTATCATCTCGCGGTCCCCAACCAGGTAGTCTACACCTACCAACATGACTCAGTCCACTTGTTAGTGACTTCATGGATTTGTGCCATGTTTTGGTCTGGCCGCCCCTAGATTTCTTCCAACCTATTCCTACACCAGAAAACATAGCACGTCGTGGCAGTCGGTGGTCTGGCATGCGCAACACATGTCCCAGCCATCTCAACTGATTAAGTTTCACTACTTCATTAATTGATTTGCCATCCTTACCTAGTACCCGTTTCCAAACAACTGCATTACTTACTCGGTGGTGCCAGGATATACGGGCAATGTTTCGAAGACACCTATGATCAAATACTAGTAACCTACGAATATCCTCTACTCTTACTGGCCATGTTCCACTGCCATAAAGTAGGACGGAACGAACTGCCGCGCAGTAAACCCATCCTTTGGTTGGTAGACGGATATCTCGCCTACACCATAAATGACGCAAGTTGGCAAAAGCTAGATTTCATCACACACCAAACCACAAGGGCTGATGAGACTTCCAAGATAAGTGAAGCGGTCGACACGCCCAACTACTTCACTCCCTATCATTAGTTTAGGTGTCGATGCAACCCAATTCTGAAGCAACATTTTGCATTTCGAGGGAGAAAACATGCTTGCATTGTTGCTTAGAGTGGTCAGCAGACTCTGCATTTTGTCAGCGTCTTCACCAAATAGAACTGTGTCATCGGCACACTCAAGTCAACAAGTGAATCTTTCGGTAGAAGTTCAACTCCTGGAAATTCAGATGAGGAAAGTGTCATCTCTAAAAGCACTTCAACGACAAAGTTAAACAAGAATGGAGAGAGTGGACAGCCCTGAAGAACACCACTTGAGATAATCAATTCTGATGACAGTTCACCATAAGCTCTCACTCGACCACTTGTTTTCGAGTAGAGAGCCTGTATAAGGTTAATGTACTTCTTTGGTACTCCTTTCAGTGACAAACACTGCCATAGAACCTCACGATCAACTGAGTCGAATGCCGCCTTAAGGTCGAGAAATAATACCATTGTGGGGCGTCTGAATGTGTGTCTATGTTCTAGGACCTGACGTAGTGTGAATATTTGGTCTAGACAACCATGTCCAGGTCGAAAACCAGCTTGGTTTTCTCTAGTTTGCTCTTCACGAGCTTTGGTTGAACGTCGAAGTATTATTGAAGCTAATATTTTAGACACTATATTAGTCAAACTGATTCCTCTGTGATTGTCACAAGAAGACTTTTGTCCTTTCTTATAGACTGGCACAATCAGTGATTGAGACCAGTCAGATGGGATTACGTCCAGTTCCCAGATTCTACCTAAGACCTCAGTCAATCTCGCTGTTATACTGGACCACCATCCTTAAAAATCTCTGGGGTAAACCTGTCAGGGCCTGTTGCTCTCCCGCGCTTCAGATTTCCTATAGCTTTTTCAACTTCGTAAAGAGTCGGAGGACTTACATTAATTTGCCATTCAGGTAGATTGGAGATCGTGGGAAACCGAAGTGTGGCTGAAGGCCAGTTGAACTGATCCCTAAAGTGTTCTGCCCATCGGTCCAATCTCCTGGATTGAGAATGAATAATATGTCCATCTTTCTCTGAGATTGTTTCTCTAATATTTGGGCTCCTAATACCGGTTTCCTTAACAAGTCTGAACAGTTGCCTGCTGTTACCTATTGCCGCTGCCTTTTCCATCTCTCTTGCTTTCGCTACTCACCACTGTTCACTATCATTGCGGAGGCTTCTAGTCAGCTTACGCTTAAGCTGACTCCGCTCTTCGTTATGTTCAGAGCCAGATGGAATGAGTTTTCGAGCATCTATCAGTGCGGTAGATGCTGCTGAGATCCAGTGTTTCTCCCTAACCTTATGGTTTACCGTACTTGCAGACATCACTGCTGTTTCTACAGCTTTTCGGACGTCATTCCACGCTGCCTCGGGGTGGGCGTCACTTACATGGCTGTCTAACTGTTTTTCTAGATGTTCCTGAAATATACTCTCAGCTTGACTATCATTAAGTAGGACCCTAAGGGGTTTCCTTGTACCATCTTCCCTACGTCCAGTAAGACGTAGACAAATACGCGCTCGCACCAGAGCATGATCTGAGTCTAAGCATGTGCTCCAGAATGAGCGACAGTCTTCTATCGAGCCCCTCCATCGGTGGCTGATAGCAATGTGATCTATTTGGGTCCAACGTTGGGACGAATTAGGGGGTCGCCATGTCGAAAGATGCTTTTCCTTATACTTAGAGTTAGTGTTTGCAAGAAACAGGCAGTTGTCTGAGCATAGCTGCAACAGACGGTCACCATTATCTGTTCTTTGAGCCGCGACACCATAAGATCCACCCAGGTGTCTTTCCTTTTCGCTTAGTTTACCTACTTGAGCATTAAAGTCACCAGCCATTATTACTACATCAGAGCGCCTGGCTTTTCGGAGAAGGTCGGAAAGCTTTCTGTAAAACTCATCTTTTACATCATCTGAGTTGCAGTCAGTGGGAGAGTAGGCAGAGACGACGAAGAGGCAACGACGAGTGTCCCTATCTTTCCGAGTCCTTACTGCTCCGTTTAGTCGGACAGCGCACAAACGACTGTCTACTGGGATCCAGTCTAAGAGAGCTAGTTCTGCCCTAGGACTCAATGCTATACTTACGCCAGCGAGGCCACGGGAAGCAGCATCAGGGTTTCCAGATACACGGAGCGTAAATCGAGTTGGTTCGTTACTTTGATATGGTGCGGTCAAATGAATGACACTACTCGGATCCTGTGTGCGCGTTTCGGAGTCGCAGCACACATCGATGGAGCGAGATTCTAAAGTCCTAGCTAAGGAAGCCTGTTGTCCTATTTGGCACAGTGTTCGGGCGTTGAAAGCTCCTACGTGTAGTTTAGAGCGTGGTTTCAGGAGGCCAGGGATAACGTTCCGCGTACTCGAATCGTTCGCACTAGCGGAGCGAGACGATAAAGGGACGTGAGAAGGGTCAGCCGTGGAGATAAGAGAGTTATTAGGAGGTGTAGGAAGGATTTGAATGTGACCAACTTGGTCTCGTGTGTTGTTACGGGTATGAGGGCTGATGTCACTTCCCGGTTGCCCACACCGTGGAAGGGTATTACTTGAGGGACCTGAAAAGGAAATAGGATTAGTGTTGGTCTTAGCGACCTGAGTGCGTGACCGCAAAGCCCAAGGGACAACTGCTTGAGGCTGGTCGCGCAGGGCCTTTCTGTTGGAGGTTTTTAATGTGTTAGCTCCGTTCTTCAAAGGGCCTTACCGCCGGAGACGGAAATCCGTGGGGCAAGGTGAGGTGTGACATTTTTAGGGTCAACCTTTTCTAACCCCTTCCTTTCTTGTGAGAAGGCAGCATCTCTGCAGATGCTGGTTGTCCGAGGGAAACACCTTACTGCTGTCACACCTCTGTACAGTCAGCAGTACGACTACACCCTCAGAACTTGAGTTGCTGCTTTTAGTCTTACCGTTCTCTAATGGATCTGCCTGGCATGGTAGAACTTGCAGGAACATATGTTCCAGCCACTATAGCTCGGTTGGGTCATCACGATAGGCAAGCCCGACCACCACATCAAGGTAGCAGCTACGGTCGGGTAAGAAGTATTTATAAACATTTGTCTACGTAAGATACTGAATATTCGTCCGCCGAAAACCGACAGAAACAGCCTTCTATGAGAGAGAACAAAACAGCTCCCAGATGAAGAAATTAGGACGAGAAACTGAAGGTGGATAGGACATACATTTCGGAAATTATCAAACTATATCATGAGAAATGCCGTAACTTAAGATCCTGAAGGCAAAATGAAAGGAGACAAACTAAAATACCCATGACACTGTGAATCGTAGACAAATGTTGTTATGAACTCTCTTAATACGACCCAGCTGCTCTTATTGCTTAGTACTTTTTGACACTACTTCACCCGACACGATTCAACGGGGACGTAATTATATTCCAGATAAGGTTGAATGGAAGTAGGGATTACAATACGAAAAACGTTAGCATATTTATAATTTTTACAGAAGATTCTAGAGTCTTCTCCAAGTATCCGCTAGTGCTGATGAATAGCCAATCAGAGCGCCTCAACACGATTCTGAACGGAATATGCTTTAATTCAATCTATCCCGCTAACAGACTTCAAAAGGGTAAGTGGTAGTTGGCAACAACTAGTATGGAGAGTCCGAGACAGAATTGTTCGGGGATGCCTGGTATACGGCCTATGTCTCATGAATGGTAACAGGTATGTATGTAAGAAAACGCAAGTTGGCAAGGTACAAGCAGAAACTAAGAGAAAAGATTCGAAGACATAAAAAATTCATGCACTTATTCCGTTAAAACCAATCGTGACTCATGTCAATCAGTCTTAATTTCCGATTTCAACTTGGAAATATACGTCATATGGTTCCCTATTTATTTTAACCTAATCTGACTTGATAATTTAAAATAAATTGAGCATTATGTAGATTGTTAATAATAAAAATAATATATTTGTAGTATCCTAATGAGTAGAAAATTGAGTTTTCTGACGTTTCGTGACTCAATGTAAGCCACTTCTTCATAGAGTAAATAAATGAAATTAACCTAAGTATGAACATCACAAAGGTACAAAGCAAGAATATTTGATACGATAAATCAAAACTAGGTCTGAAAAAGTCAATATCATGTCATTTCGGTCAAGGCGACCTGTTTTGATTTATCGCATCAAATATTCTTGCTTCTTACTGTTCATACTTGAGTTAATTTAATTTGTTTATTTATTTTCGAAAGAAGTGGTTAGCACTGAGTCACGAAATGTCAGAAAATTTAATTTTTCTACTCATTGGGATATTACAATTATATTGATGTGGAGAGCCAATCGGAAGTAACAAAAGGTCGATCGATGGCAATCAGAAGTGACCCAAAGGTCAAGTGCATTTTATTGGAGTCAGTGGGTCAGTTTTCTATTGATAGAGTGGTATATATATGAATGAGTATTTGTTCATTTCATTCGATAGTATAATTCACTTTCTCACTAACTCTTGTGTTGTCGCTCAAATAATCTTTTAAGGGAGGGGGTAGCGCATAGCTTACTGTGTATCAGTATCAGATTTGTGATACCGCACGTCACAACACATTTTATTTTTAACTTAATTGTTGTCTAGCGTCAATTCTACGTTTTGACAAATAATAACATATTCTAATGAGAAGCTGTGACCAGTGTAGCTAATCCATGTCGGATGTGAAGCAGTTACTCGCCTAAAACAATAGAAGATTGTCACGCAGTTTCCTGGGTTGAATGAGGTTAGACATGAACAGCTTTGGATGTCAACTCAGTGGTTTAGAGGTTAGGCTTTAGCGCATGGAACTGGTTTTGCGTTCGATTCCGCATGAGAGATCGTGGATGTGTATTGCTAAGAAGTCCTATACAGGGACGAAATAACAATCCAGTGCTTCCAGATTCTCAATAGTGGTATAACTTACATTGGCTCATATATTTCAATTTAATCCATTTGTCTCCAATTTTTCATGCAAATGACTATGTACTTCCCCACCAATTTCTGCCTCACTATTTGTTTTTTAGACAGGATATTTGTTTCTCGTTACTACAAGAATATTTCGCTACTATATTGATTCGTTTGAAAATTCTTGACTCTTTTCTTCAACCCCTAGAGTTTGGTAGGTTAAAATATTTACAATATTTAAATAACCCGCAATTTGTTTGCTCAAAATTATTAATACGGCTATAGATTTCTGAAACTATCTCATATAAATAGACAATTTTCGCGTGTTAGAAAGCCGTATTTTAGATTCTTCACGAAAATAGTAATAGACTACTTTTTATTTAACAAAATGTCTGGTAAGGTTGTATAACGATTAGTTATGAATACTGTTAACAATAACGTTTGTCTGTATGTGAAGTGCAAATAATATGTTTTTGTTCATGTAACTGAACTGGATTTTTATTTAACTTATATGTGCACCCATTGTTTCATACCATGTATTGACTCCACCATTATTAATCTTAACATCCATTAGTTGATGTTCATAATAAGCTGAAAATATCAGTTCAGTGGCTCTGTTATCTTTTCTGAAGTTCTTCGTTTTGACGACGATATGTTTGTTAGTCACATTTTTCGTAACTGAACTAAATTAATGACGAACACAACTTGTGGATTGCTTATCTATGTAGACACAGTTGTTGTTTTTGCTTGTTCAACAAATAAAAGTTTTTAGGTTGTTTTCTTTCAAATTCATTATATAACACTGTCTAATACCACAAAATATAAGTGAACGTTCCCTAGTTAATAATTAGTAATTAGTTACTCACTAGTAACTAATTTCTAAAGGTAGTTTCGGATTTCTAGTGTGAAGCCGTGATCAGTGGATTCCAACCACATAGAGCATGAGATAGGCACTCGCCAAGTACATTGAAAGATGTTTGCAGATTATTACGAGTTAATTGAATTTAAACATGTAAACCATTGGATACCGACTCAGTAGTCAAAAACTGAAGGTCTTGGACCCTACTTCAGTGGGAGGGTTAGTGGATGGTCATTGCTACAGAGTCCCATGCCAGGAGGAAGCTGTTGGATTATACCTCGTTATACATTGTTCGTGTACTCAGTTTGGGTTTTTTTAGACTGCTTTCAAATCTAAACTTCAGTGCATGATAAATGAGTAAAGGACAGTTGACTTGATTTCTGTCTAGACGGATTGACGTATGTTACTCATGTTATTATTGAATTATGAGTGGTATTTCTGTGAATGTATTCGATTCTTAAGTGGCTGCTTGAAATTTTAGTCTTCCGAAAATCTGTTTCATTCGTGTTATAAATAATTTTCTTTTTTTTTCTAGCAGTAATCTTACTAAACTGTTCTTACTGTCACATTTACTGTTCACACTTCTATTCACAAAATGATTTATCATCGGTCGACATTAATTCGCATTAGCTATAAAATTTAAGGTGCGACTATGACCTCGTCAATAGTAATGTCTTTTTGTTAACGTATCTCAATAATTAAGTACGAGTTCACATACTTAAGTACCATCTAAACTTATGATGCTTGGGTATACTACCAGATCATACAAATTCAAATAGATGTAGCTAAGTTTAAAATTGCATTTCCAGAAATATAAAGTAGATTTCTAAAGTACTAATCTTGAACTTCATTTAGTGCTACTTGGTTAACATTATTGATTGGATCCATCTACAAATCCATTTTCATTCTTGAGACCTTCAAACTGTAGATTTATTATCCGTCTTTTTCTTGATTTTATCTTTTTTTAGAGACAACTTGGGAACCATGGGTACATTTCTGTTCGTCTTCATATCAAAATGAAGTAAGAAGCAGTTGAAATATGAATAATTTAATCTATCCTTTTTATTAACATATTGGACTGAAGACTGAATATCTTGTCTACAGCCAGTAATAATTATTGAAATATATATTTAAAATTTTCACTGCTCGTAAATATAGTCTCTAGCATTACTATAGACACACGTTTCCATGATAACGTATGGTATTCGGCTGTTTTTTTTTTGAAATTTAAACAATCAGTTTTATGGAAGCGTGCATCTAACTTTTAAGAAATCATCCACTTGTTGGTAGAACCTTTAGATATTCTCGTTATACAAGATTGAAAATGTACTTTTTCTCGTTACATAAGCCAATAGCGTCTTTTAACTAAAATGCAAAATAATCATTCATGTATAGTTGTTTTTGGTGCGTGTTACTTTAATAATAATAATAATAATAATAATAATAATAATAATAATAATAATAATAATAATAATAAACTCAAGAGACAAATAAATGATGCCATAAGCATCATTACAATGTTTGTAAATCGTCTAGTATTTTTTCAGCTAACACTCAAAGTTGCTTGTCCAAGACAACTAATTTTTAACTCGAAATTGTCTGTTTAGAATCCTACAATGTCATGGACTTTAATACCAAATAACAATACAAATGTTACTAATTCCGGTTCAGTTTATCCTATCAAATCATTCCAAACTGAAGATATTCAAGTAAATCAATTAATTTACTGTCTGCATACTTTGTCTATTTTCTTTTCTTCTAGATGCAAGTGTTTTTACTTCAGTATTGATGTGTTGAAGAAGTATTCAATTTTTCACATTTAGTTGGGTTTTTGCAATAAATTTGTTATTTTCACATCAGTTTTTTCCTGATTTATACCAGAATAGCAATTCAGATCCATCATGACTTTTGCCCTGCTAGTTATCGCTAATCAGAACACTGACTTATACGACATTCGCCCTGTGCCAAACCAATGACGCGTTAACAAGTACAAGCAACCTAGAGTCAACTCTGAGTCCTTATTGGTTCTTCTCGCCTTGCCCTGCCCGTTTAGTCCAGAACACAATCTCAGCTTCCACTGTATGAATCACGTATTTCAGACATACTCAGTTTATATACAAGCAAATTAGACGGGATCACACTACAAAATAGAAAACAACTACTATATATATATATATATATATATATATATATATATATATATATATATATATATATATATATATATATATATATATATATATATATATATATATATATATATAACAAGATCAATGAGTAATAAGATTTAAATAGTTTCCTAATTTTTCAAAGTATTTGAGAAAAAATATCGTTTTGAAGGTCAAACATCAGGAACGAAGTTCTAGTAGAAGGCAATAACCTTGGTCCATACTATTCAACAACAATAACTGTGTGCTTATGTTTTGCAATCTTAGAGGTAGAGGAACATCATAACTGCTTAAAGAATCTACGGTGGTGTCATAAATAAGATTTTAAAGGAATTAGTAATTCAGTAAATAAATAAACTAATGTATAAAGTCCGTTTGATGTCATATACAGAGATAATGTGTCTGTGTGAATAATTTACCTCCCACCAAGTAGTCAAACTTCCAGTGGACATGTGAATTCTGTTCTTATGTTATGAGTTAAAATAAATTCACATTGCAGTGAATGTCATGTGATATTTAAAGCACAAGTGTGTTACTTACAGATAATTATTCATTTAGACAAAATACTAAATTAATTCAGTTTTACATGAAAGTATCTTCTTCAATTGTAGTTTACTTCTTTATCGAATGAATTTCTTTTGTTATCATAAATGTACACTAATATGTTATATTAATAACAGTATCTAGAAAATTTATTATTTCACAAGTACTAAAGAATTATGGTACTGAAAATCCCCAACCGTTGCGAATACCTTGATGTGGTTTTGGGCTTGCCTATCGTGATGAACCGATCGGGCTATACTGGCTGGAACAATAGTTTCTCAAGGTCCTACCATTCCAGGTAGGTCGGTTGAAGAACGGTAAGATTAAAAACAGCAAACCCAAGGTCGAAGTGCGAAGTCATAATGTTAACTGTACAGAGGTGTGACTGTAGTAAGGTGTTCTCCTCAGACAACCAGCCTAACAGCGATGCTGCCTTCCAACAAAGGAATTGTGGGGTTAGAAATGGTCGACCTTAAAATTGCACACCCCGCCTTATCCGTTTCCGGTGATAAGGTCTTAATAAGTACGGAGCTAACACAAAATTGTTGTATGTGACCGACTTCAAGCAGTTGTCCCTTGGGCACTGCGGTCACGCTCTCAGGTCACTAAGATCAACCCTAACTGAATTTCCTTTTCAGGTACCTCTAGAAGAACCCTTCGACGGTGTGAGCAACCGGGAAGTGATAAACGACTTCATACTTCTAATAGCAATCAAGATCACTGTATTCATTATCGATTTCCCTCTTCAGTTACTATTATTCCTCCTACCTCGACATTTAGGTGAGTATTTTGGTATTCCAGCGAACAGATAATGGTGATCGTCTGCTGCAGCTGTCTTCAGACAATCGTCTATATTTAGCAAGCACCAATTTTAAACATAAGGAGAGACATCGTCTAACATGGCGACTCACTGCACTAGACCAACGATGGACTCAAATAGACCATATTGCTATCATCCATCGTTGGAGAGGCACGATATAAGACTGCTGCTCGTTCTGCAATACATGTTTAGACTGATCATGCTCTATTACGAGCTTGCATTTGCTTGCGCCTGACTGGACTCAGTGACAAGAAAGCCAAAGGTAAACTTTCGAAACAACTGAGGTTACATTTAGGCAATTTTGAGAATGAGGCTAACCCAGATGTTGCTTGCAAAGATATACGAGCAGCTGTGGAAACAAAAGCCACATCCATCGGTGATTTGGATTAAAAACGTTACGAGAAACCTGTGGTTTGCGCTACGCTTTGGTACTAATAGACTCTCGTAAACTCATCCCATCTGGCTCCGAACACGATGACGAGCGTAAACAAATCAGATCTAGGTTAAGCAAAAGTCTAAGGAACGACCGTGAGCAGTGGTGGGCAACGAAAGCAAAAGAGATGGAAAAGGCAGCGAGCATAGGATACACAAGACAACTCTACAGACTAATAGAAGAAACTGGAATTAATAAATCAAGTGTAAGTCAGACCATTTCGGAAAAAGACGACACTCTCATCTGCTCCCAGTCCGGACGCTTAGAACGATGGGCGGAACACTTTAAGGAGCAGTTTAGCTGGCCTTCAGCTACTCTACAACTACCCTCTATTCCCAGACAGTATGAATGGAACATTGAAGTAGGTCCCCTAACTCTAGCTGAAGTTCAAAATGCTATAGTTATTCTGAAAGGGGGAAGGGCAGCTGGTCCAGATGGATTGGCCCCAGAGGTCTTTAAGGATGATGGTCTAGTTTTAGCGATTAGGTTGACTAATCTTTTAGCTAAAATCAGGGAGTTAGACGTAATCCCCTCTGACTGGTCACAATCACTTATCGTCCCAATATATAAGAAAGGGTCAAAATCATCCTGTGACAACCATAGACGGACTAGTTTGACCAATATATCATCCAAATTACTAGCCTCAATAATTATCGGTCGCCTAATAAAGACTTGTGAACTGCAAACACGTGAAAATCAGGTTGACTTCAGACCTGGTAATAGATCTATAGACCACATACTCACCATTCGTCAAGTTTTAGAACACAGGTATGTTAATAGGCGTCCGGTAATGATATTTTTCCTTGACTTAAAAGCAGAATTTGACTCTGTAGACCGAGAGGTTCTATGGCAGTGTCTGTCATCAAAAGGTGTACCTCAGAAGTACATACACCTTGTGAAGGCTCTATACTCAAACACTACTAGTCGAGTCAGAGTTTATGACGAACTGATATTGCATCATTAAATGGTGTTCGACACGGCTGTCCATTATCTCTGTGTTTGTTCATAGACATAGTGATGGAAATGACGTTCTCGTCGACTGAATTTTCGGGAATCGATCTCCTACCAGGAGGTCCACTTATCGATTACAATACGCAGATGACATAGTCCTGTTTGGTGAAGACGCTGATGAAATGCAGAGTCGTTTGGTAGCACTGAGAAACAATGCCAGAATGTTTGGGATGCGCTTCTCTCCCTCCAAATGCAAACTGTTGCTTCAGGACTGGTCTGCGTCAACACCTGAACTGAGGATAGGGGGTGAAGTAGTCGAACACGTTGACAACTTCACTTATCTTAGAAGTCTGATCAGCCCTAATGGGTTGGTGTCTGACGAAATCTCAGCACGGATTCGAAAAGCTCGTTTGGCTTTCGCCAACTTACGTCACCTATGGTGAAGTCGAAATATCCGTCTATCAATTAAGGGACGAGTATACTGCACAGCAGTTCGTTCTGTTTTACTTTATGGCTGCTAAACATGACCATTAAGAGTAGAAGATATTCGTAAGTTACTAGTGTTTGACCACAGGTGCCTTAGAAATATTACTCGTATATGCTGGGACCACCGGGTAAGTAATAGTGAGGTTAGACGCAGGGTATTATGGAATGATGGTAAATCAGTTGATAAGGTTATGAGTCTTCATCGACTGAGATGGTTAGGCCACATGCTGCGTATGCCTGAACACCGATTACCACGACGCGCAATGCTAACCGGTGTTAGGGATGATTGGAAGAAAGTTAGGGGCAGCCAAACCAAAACGTGGCATCAGTGCTTGAAGTCACTAACTTCTGGTCTGAGCCATGTTGGTAGATTCAGACTGCCTGGTTGGGGTCCTCGTGACGATTGTCACAAATTGTTGGAGATTCTTGGTGACATGGTTCAAAATCGATCACAATGACGTTGGTGAATACACTATTTGTCTTCACTTAAACCGTGAAATGAAAATTGCTGAATACCTTTATTTCTACGAACGAATTTTTTCTACCTGTATTGTAACTTTATATGCAATATTTCTTTTATATATTACCACCCTTGAAGTGATTACGTCTATGAATTCGATGTTCATCGTGTTGTACTTATGTATGGTAACTTGGACGGATGTATACATGTGCGTAATCTTTTGTTGTAGATGACTGAATGTATGATACATAAGAAATGATAAATGAGATTTAAGAAATTATTAGGGTAGATGGTTCTTATTAGTACGTCTCAAAATGAATTATAATCTTAATAATTTTAGTCTCGATAAGAACAGTTGTCTTTTTAGTAGAACTTTATTATTTCTCACAAATCCTTTAGATGCATTATTGATGACTCATTGCTGTTATATTTCATGTTGCATAATCACTATTGCCTCCTCCATTATTAATTAAAGGAAAACCTTGTTTTATTCTAAACTAACTTTGTATCACAAATTACAGGTAAAAGTAAACTTGAAAGACATTGATTTGTAAAAAAATAAATCAATCAATTAAATTGTCATCCATGTGAAAATATTTGTTCATAATTCATTTAATTCAGTACAAGGTACAGCAATTATCTTAGTTTGATTGCCAATCCACGAAGCTCGAACACCTTACTTAAAATTGGCGAATCCTACACAAGCTGATCCATGTTCACCTTGACTTGTAAGAGCAACTAAAGCTCCAAACAATTTTTTTGGCTAAACAATATAAATAATTCAACTTTAGTACAATACTTTAAGTTATGTAGATCAATTATTATCAATTAAGTATCATGGATTTGTAAATACATCACTAGTAGAATAAATCAGTTTTACCATAAATGTTTGCGTAACTGAATACATTTCCATCTATTTAATATAATA